TAGCAATGTGGGTGGCTTCCCTGTGATCAACTGGGGCCTGGGCTGGCCAGGTACAGGACAAGGATAGGAGCTGTGATCTTTTCTACTCCAGTGCAGATTCACATTCACAAGTGCTGGGAGGTAGTGATCTGAGATTACTACCTCTAACTGTTGCAATGCGTTAACTGAAAATTATCCGTCACCACCTGCAATCACACTGTTTGCACTTGCAGATATTTTAAGTAAAAAAAATAGGACTTCTGACAGGAGCCTCTGGCAGTCTTGAGTGCCATGCATGGTACATGTGCCATAGATTACTGACCTCTGATGTAGATAATAGAGGAAAAGAAAAACAATCTCCAAATCTAGTACACTACAGTTCAACCTCATTCTGAAGAAGCTCACTGACTCACCAATGTTGCTAGACAGCTTAGAGAGCTATACATCCCAAAGGAGCCCCGACAGATAGACCGAGAGATGTAATTTGTCAACTGCACTTGATTTGCGTCAATCTTTCAGCCTCTGATCTACCACGATGCACCAATCTATTTACTCAGACTCATACTGGATGACCCTGCAGGCCTGACGAGTTTTGAAACCCATCACAGAAAACCTTCATTACCAAATGGATTCTCTTTTGCCCTCAGCGTGACCTGTAGTGGTTTGGTACAATCTATCCACAATGTGAGATATGTTCCTCTATTTCTACAGGCCTTATAGCTCCCCTGTGCTTTACATACCACAATGCCAGCCATGGCAAAAAGCCCCCAAACAAGAGAAGAATCAAGCCCAGTGACAAGGGAGGGAAGGAGGGGGAGAAAGAGAGTGACAAGGGAGGGAGGGGAGAAAGAGAGTGGCAAGGGAGGGAGGGAGGGAGGGAGGGGGAGAAAGAGAGTGACAAGGGAGGGAGAGAGAATGACATCCATCACACACACACACACAATTGCACAATCATGCAAACCTTACACACAGACACACAATGCATTCCTTACAAACACTAAATGCACCCCGTACACACACTCAATGCACCCCTTACAGACGCACACACTGCATCCCGTACATACACAGAAACACACCTTGCAGTCCTTACACATACAAACACATACAAACACAGATTCACACAATGCATTCCTTACACACATATCAGGACATCCCCTACACACTCCACCACCTGTGAACAAACTCATTGGTGGAACATGAAGGTGGACCATGGGACCCAGACCTTGAGCTGTGTAAAGGGCCCCCAAAAAATGGAGCTGCTTCCCGTTCTCCCAGAACACTGATTTTTGTGACCACAGTTACAAACAGCCTCCAGAGAGCCTGTTCTACACCAGACCAGTGGAGCCAGACTGCAGCTAGAGCCCATCATCATCCGCATCTAGTTGTAAGTAGGCAATCTAGCATATTATTCGTGGCACTAATCTCTAATTTATCTCACATTAAAGAAACACTATAGTCCCCAGAACCACTGCAGCTTAATGTAGTGGTTCTATGCAGAACAGAATCAGTCTCTCCTGTCAAGAACTGGGCCAGAGACAGATAGGCTGTGAGCCTGCGAGGCAAAGAGACTGCTAAACCTGTACAGTAATAAAATGTATTTTGCAAGCCTTTTATTTTGTTATTGGTTAAACAACTGGGGTCTACCTAGCTGCCCAGTGTTATAGAGGTACTCTATGTTTGTTAGTCTCCAGCGTGGATTAGGATTTTCTTTTTGTTTAATGTTTTGTTGTGGCTAAAGTAAGGCAGGCTCGCTACATAAAGCTTCACTGATATTAGATACAAGCACGGTTTCTGTGGTTTATGACCCAAGTCCCGGTTAGCCCTGTTTATTGATGCTACACTGTATTGTCACGTATGATGAACAATAAAAAAACAAAGAAATACATACACTAATTTTAAATTAAACTGTTTTCAATTTTTTTTGTGTCTTAGAGTAAAATGCACAAAACAAAGCCAGCTGTCGCAAACCATTTCCTTAATATGATTTCTTAACATACACACTTTCCCAACTCACGTTTATAACCTCTTTCAGCCACAGTAGTTATAAAGAATAAATATAGGGCAACTTTTGTTAAGCAATATCAGTTCCATTAAACACCTCCACTAAACTTTTCACCCCAGGTGAGTTTCCCTTGAGGCCTCTTCTCAGCAAACACTCATACATTCACTTTACAAGAACACATTCAAACCTGTCTTATATGTATTCAAACCTTAACAGATTCACTTTTACGCTCTCTTTTTCAATTGCTTCCTCTGCATGCCCTCCTTCTCTCATCCCATCACCAGACTTTTTCTTTCTAATCATATGACAGTTTATTTTTTACAAGCATCTTCTTGAAATGTTAACTCACTTCTTTCAAACATTCATATCACATCACATATTCAAAATCTGAGTAAACATCCTTGTAAAATAAGCATATGCTGTAATATAAGCATATATTTAAATTAACAAATACATTTTTTTAAAAATAAAACATAATAATTGAGATAAAATGGGTCGCAGGCCTGCTATTTGTGTTCTTTGTTTCAGACACTTTGATTTCAGCTAATTAGAGAGACAGACCAGGTATTGGTTCTAATGCTGTGCCTGTGTGTGAGTGGGATATAGTATGTGTCATTCATCCGATGTAAAACTGTTGAGGTGGTTAGGTTATCACAGTGTCAGTCAATCAGCACCACTTACACCATCTGATTTAGATTTCTACTGATTTGTGATTTTTTTTTTATTTCTTGTGAGACTTGTGAGAGACACTGAGACAGCTTAGTTTTGTGTATTTCAAATGGAAATTTAGTTTCAGCAAGTTTTTTACAAGTCTTTGAGTGTTCAGTCCATTGTGCTGCAGCACCAGAAGTGTGTAAGCACTGTTTGTACAGTGCACTGTGTGCTGTGTGGAGTGTAGAATCAATCTTAAACTTAAATCTTAACTATAATAGTGTTGCAGTGTAGACATGTGCAATTAGTTTTGGTCCAAATTTAAATTTGGCCGAATTTCGGCAATTCGGACATTTGGATGCCTCCAAATGTATGAAATGCCGAATTTCCAAAGTGCCGAATTTCAGAATGTGTCGAACCAAACCAAATTGCTGACGTGCCGAATTGCCGAAGTCCCGAATTGTTGAAGTGCTGAATTTTGGAAGTGCCGAACCAAACCGAATTTCCAAAGTTCCGAATTCTCAAAGTGGTAAATACCGAACCGAATTTCCGAAGTGGGAATTGCCAAAGTCCCGAATGGTTGAAGTGCTGAATTTCGGAAGTGCCGAACCGAATTGCCAAAGTGCAGAATTGCCGAAATCCCGAATTGTTGAAGTGGCGAATTTCGTAATTGTCGAACCGAACTGAATTGCCGAAGTGCCAAATTGCCGAATTTCTGAAGTGCCAAAGTGCTTTGGATTTCTGAAAAGTGGCAAAACAGGAGAGGGAGGGAAAATTAAGGCAATGATGACCGGAATCTAACCCTACCCCTAATCTACCTTTACCCCCTACCTCTAACCCTAACTCTGCCCGTAACATAACCCCTAACCCCAACCCTAACCTTAGTAGGGTTGGGGTAAGGTTAGGAGTAGAGTTAGGAATAGGGTTGGGGTTAGAGGCTAGGTTAGGGGAAGGGTTAGGGATTAGGGTTAGGGGTAAGGGTAGGGGTAGGTGTAGGGGTAGGGTTAGGGTCAGGGGTAGGGTTAGGGTTAGGGAATTGCCAAAATCCCAAAGTACCAAATTGCTGAATTGCCAAATTGCTGAATTCCTGAAGTCCTGGATATTGGAAGTGCCGAACCGAACCCAATTTTTTTGTCCATGCACATCTCTATTACAGTAGTAATAAATCCACCAAGCAGCAACTGATTTTTCAACATTTTGTTTGACACAAACTTCTATTTTTGCTTCATAGTGTGTTAGTTTACACAATACACATTCATATCACCATTCATAGTAACTAACAATAATGAAAATAAACTCAAAAGAATTTGATCTTGAAAAAATGGAGTGATGGAAACCATGTTAAAGGATAGGATTGATGAACATCTAAAAACACATGGATTTCAAGATCAGAGACAACATGGGTTTACTTCAGGGAGATCATGCCAAACTAATCTTATTGATTTTTTTTGATTTTGTAACTAAAATTATAGATCAGGGTGGTGCAGTAAACATTGCTTACCTAGATTTCAGTAAGGCTTTTGACACTGTTGCACATAGAAGGCTTATCAATATACTGCAATCTTTAAGTTTGGATTCCAATATTGTTGAATGGGTAAGGCAGTGGCTGAGTGACAGGCAACAGAGGGTTGTAGTTAATGGAATATATTCGAAGCTTGGACTTGTCACCAGTGGGGTACCTCAGGGATCTGTACTTGGACCCATTCTCTTTAATATTTTTATTAGTGATATTGCAGAAGATCTTGATGGTAAGGTATGTCTTTTTGCTGATAATACTAAGATATGTAACAGGGTTGATGTTCCAGGAGGGATAAGCCAAATGACAAATGATTTAGGTAAACTAGAAAAATGGTCAGAATTGTGGCAACTGACATTTAATGTGTATAAGTGCAAGATAATGCATCTTGGACGTAAAAACCCAAGGGCAGAGTACAGAATATTTGATAGAGTCCTAACCTCAACATATGAGGAAAGGGATTTAGGGGTGATTATTTCTGATGACTTAAAGGTAGGCAGACAATGTAATAGAGCAGCAGGAAATGCTAGCAGAATGCTTGGTTGTATAGGGAGAGGTATTAGCAGTAGAAAGAGGGAAGTGCTCATGCCATTGTACAGAACACTGGTGAGACCTCATTTGGAGTATTGTACACAGTACTGGAGAACATATCTTCAGAAGGATATTGATACCTTAGAGAGTGTTCAGTGAAGGGCTACTAAACTGGTTCATGGATTGCGGGATAAAACTTACCAGGAAGGGTTAAAGGATCTTAACATGTATAGCTTGGAGGAAAGACGAGACAGGGGGGATATGATAGAAACATTTAAATATATAATGGAAATCAACACAGTAAAGGAGGAGACTATACTTAAAAGAAGAAAAACTACCACAACAAGAGGACATAGTCTTAAATTAGAGGGACAAAGGTTTAAAAATAATATCAGGAAGTATTACTTTACTGAGAGGGTAGTGGATGCCTGGAATAGCCTTCCAGCTGAAGTGGTAGAGGTTAACACAGTAAAGGAGTTTAAGCATGCGTGGGATAGGCATAAGGCTATCCTAACTATAAGATAGGGCTAGGGACTAATGAAAGTATTTAGAAAATTGGGCAGACTAGATGGGCCGAATGGTTCTTATCTGCCGTTACATTCTATGTTTCTATAACAGCGAATGAAAATGGGTCCTAAAAAAGAAAAAAACTCAAGACGGAGAGAAGACTAAGCCAAGTAACATTAATACCTTTTTTGGCCAAAATCAAATATAGCTCCTCATAATGAGCATAGAAGACCTAAATCTCCAGATCAACACGAAACCTTGAATGCCTCCAATTCATCTGGTCAGTAAAAACAATCTATAAATTCTAAAAAGCAAAATGGTCACCAGGAAAGTCTGGTAGAAGCTATGGATAATCACTATGAAAAAATCCAAAATTATTTTAAAACTCATATCTTGGATCTAAAGACCGAGGTGATTGAGCTGAAGCAAAAAGATGATAATATGAAAGACATATGAGAGGAAGTAAAATTTCTTCAAACAAAATTATTTGCTGAAAAACCAAGTCAAAATACTAGAAACCAGGACTACAGAAATTGAAGACAGACCAAGAAGAAAAATTTGAGATTTTGAGGAATTTCAGAAGACATCAAATCAGACAAATTGGAGAAATATTTAAAAGAGTACATGGCACAGTATATAGACATACAAGAGATTGGTTCAGCCCCATTTTGAAAGGGTACATAGAATTCACAAATCCGCTAGTATAAAAACGCCTGAACCAAGAGATGTGATAGTATGCTTTTTGAATTGCACACTCTCTGTTTAGGAAGGCCCGCTTTAATAAGCTGTGGGATGCAAAATTCACTGGAATCGCTATGTTTCCAGATTTATCCCTTGCTACAAGGAATAGTCTCAAGCTTTTTAAAGATATGACTATAACACTGAGAGATGATAATATCTTGTATAGATGGGGTTTTCCCACTAAGCTTCTGATCCAATATGGTAAAAAAATTAGTGCTATAAATGACCCTTCAGAAGATCTTGTCAAATTGGGTATACCCATAGGAAAATAAAGCAACCATTCAAAGACAGTTTTGAGAGAAATATACGTGGAAATAGGTTGAGCGAACTGGATAATAACATAAAGCAAATAATTACCCAGCTAATACAAATACACCCTCAGTCATAAACCCATTCTCCTCTTGCCTCTACTTTGCTGGTTTAATTAGATTTCATCTCATTTAAATATAAGAATATTACTTTAGCATATCCTCATGGTCAGAATGCAGGTTTAAAAAAAAAAAAGTCCCATGTGTAATATAATATATTATGGGGTACAAAGATAGGAAGGGTTAAAAGAAGCGCTTTACTAGATATTCTAAGATAATAATACCATTCTAAAATTATGAGTATAGCTAATGAGGATGGTTAGCTTCAAACTAAGAAAGCCAACCAGCCCCACTGAATTTACCTCAGAGATCAATATAAGGTTATAAACTTTATTGAGAAAAAAATATATATAATAAAAGACATAATAATAATAATACACACAAAAAAATAGGGTTAGTGCAACAAAAACAGGTGATCAAACTAAATGTAGTAGTTAAAAGATTGCTAGAGTTGTACCATAAATCTACACTATAACCGAATGCTCCATGAGATACAAATGTAGAAACTCAGTACAAATGATTAGACTGATATATTACAAATGTAACAGACTGGTTTCTGAAATATAATAAGCAGGTTGTATACAGAATAGTGTGTGCATTTCACATTGGATAGTTATATAGGCATTGAACATGTAAAGCTCTTTTTAGATCAAAGGGGTCCAGAACATGATTCACACACAACATTCACACTGAGACTCCTGGGAGTCATCCTGTCGCACAACTACTTTCTGTTTAACAACAAGTTCTACCATCAGGTGAGAGGAAGTGCGATGGGGACGGCTTGAGCCACCTCATACGCTAACCTCCACCATGGATGGTGGGAGCAAAAGATTAAGACGTTGGATACTCTGGCACAATATCTACCCAAGATACATCTCTGGTGTTGATACATAGATGACATCTTAGTTGTATGGCAGGGTATCCCAGAAGAATTCAGTGATCTTGTCTCAGCTTTGAATATAAACAGTGAAAATCTCAGGTTTACATCAGAATTTGGAGGTCGTTCCCTGAATTTCCTGGATCTGACAATCTTTATCTCAGACAATGATGTACTCCAAACTACTCTCTCTAACAAACCTTCGGTTTCTAACAATCTGCTGCAATGGGATAGCTTCCACCCAATAACCTTGAAACAAGTTATACGGTTGGACAATATTTAAGACTGCGCAGAAATTGCAGCAATATCTCTGATTTTAAGACCAAAGCTCAAATACTCAGAGAGCAGTTCAGAGAAAAAGGATATCCCAACAGATGCCTAAAAAGCCTATCGGAGGGCTTTGGAGGCCGATAGAAGGGACCTTCTGTCAGATTGTCAAGTGAGGAAAGATACACCAACAACCATCCAAATGATAGCTACATACAACGCAGGTTGGCATGAGGTCAAAAAAATCTATGCATAGATTTTGGCCAATCCTACTTAATGATGTACACCTAAAAGAGGTACTCTGTCCACATATTGATATCACGGCAATAAGAGGCTGTAACATGAGAGATATCCTAGTTCCAAGCCATTTCTTATCCAAGTCACGCTCATTAGGCACCTGGTTGGGAAATCCTCCTTGCGGTACTTATGGTTGTGGCAGATGTGTTGTATGTAAATACATCCTAAGAGAATAAAAAAATGTTACGGACAGTGAGGGACAACACTCTTTTAAATTTGAACACTTCTTCAACTGCAACATTGCGGGTTTGATATACTTGCTGACCTGCAGCTGCGGTTTGAGGTATGTGTGTAAGACCTTTTGCCCCTTTAACAAGAGAATTAAGGAACATATCAGGTCCCAAAAAAAAGACTTGAGACACCAATCTCCTGACACCTCAAGGAACACCACAGAGGGGACTCTTAAGGCTTAAAGTTTTGTGGCTTAGAATGAGTCAAACGGGAACAGAGACGTGATGACTATGACAATTTCATAAGACAGAGAGAATGTAGATGGATCTACAAACTCAGGACACTTCAACCCCTGGGCCTTAATGAGGGCTTCTCCTTTGCCCCACTCATCTAAAATCCCCACACACCATATCCATTTAATATTTTTATCAATCATTAACTTTGACATAACCCGCCTTAACTTATCTTTATTAGGATTCTGCTCGCTATCAATTCCAACGGTAATTTTTCAGTTATTTTTCATTAATTTCCGACATCCACTATGGTTTTTATGCCCCATGGTGACATATATGAACTTCCCATGTGCCTTGTGTATACATGATACATGTCTCAGATAAGGTCTTTCCTCCGTTTAACTGTGTGAAATATTTCCTGTTAAATATCTGGAATATTGACTATCAGCATAACTGACTTGTGACTATCACAAGCCATAATATACCACTTAAACTGGTTCTGAAGGCTACATTAAAGATCTCACTCGAGTTTAAGAGCAACCCTTAGTTATTTTGATCAGGAGACAATTGAGATATGCCCTTGAAAGAAGGTCCAGGTTGTAAACCTAGAGATACTGTAAAAACGTTATCTCTAGGTTTACAACCTGGACCTTCTTTCAATCCTTCGCTGGGACTTTAAAGTACATTGATACCAATAGACTAACCATTTCAGTCTGTTCTCCCACCTTAATATTTATAAATAGCATGCTATTATTAAGGGAAACTTTAGAATTAGACTGTGTGGGAATTCATTGATACTGCGGAATTGCACCAGACCGTTCCCTTGGGAAGGAACCCCTCCCACGTCAGTATGGGGCTGCATATGATTGGCCTTTTCCTGTGAGGGGCATCACTTATCTGCCTTTTAAAAACAGACTCCAGGTGGATGCCCAATTAGCTCTTGATAAAGGTGGAGTTACCGCCGAAACGTGCTTTGGGCTACCTATGCTCACATGCTGATTTTACTCTAAGATTTATTTAGAACCAATTGCTGTATCAGATAGTTTCTGATTTTCATGTATTTAGGGGGGCGACCTTCCAACTAATTAGGGATGGTTTAAGTAGCAGTCACCACTAATCTACTTTAGTGCCTTACTATCATTGCAACCCATGTGCTAGGATTACTCTCGATATATGGACACTCCTCTCTAGCAGCACTAGTAGGCTCTTTAGTTTTTTGTTTTTTCGTTTACTATCCATCTGATTTGAGTGCCCTACCACCACTGATGTTTGAACTACTCTCCATATAGGGGTACTCCTCTCTCGTAACAGTGGTCAGATTGATACAGCACAATACCACCCACGTTGTTACTCGTATGTATGCTTCACCTCCCTGGATTGCCTTAGCCTACCTATTCATTTGTAAGATGGAGCGACATAAGGGAGTGCAGTCCTCTCCGGATATATATTGGAACGAGCTTTTTTGTACCTGTCTTTACCCCCTCTGATTAGCAACTTTTGAGTTGTTTAGAGGGTCCATTTTCACGGGAGGCTATAGGTATCTATTTACCATATGCTAAACATGTGCAATTCGTTTCAATCCGAATGTCAATTTGGAGGAATTTCGGGAAATTCGGACATTTGGATGCTTCTGAATGTCCGAATAGCTGAATAGCTGAATTGCTGAAGTGCCGAAGTTCCGAAGTTCCGAAGTTGCCAAAGTTCCGAAGTTCCGAAGCACAGAATTGCTGAAGTACTAATATACCCAGTGGAAGAATGAAGAATGTTACACTCTATACCAATTTAAATAAAAAAGTATACAAACATAGCCAGGATTCAGCTGTAAGCATTTGCAACACTTACAACAATCAAGTAACACATAATTGATGGGAATGAATAAGTAAATAACTCCCTAATTCCCTAATGCCATGGGAATTAGGGAGTTATCTACTAAGCGGCTGCAAGAGAACAGCCGAAGTGCCAAAGTGTGACGTCCCGAAATTCTGAAATTCCGAAGTTCAGAAATTCCAAAGTGCTGAAGTGCTGAAATT